TCAAAATACCATTTGAAATTTGAAAAAGATCACTACTTTTAAATACAGTAAAAAGCATCCATTTGTGGGTTTTAAAACAGAGAAAAACGTTTATTTGTGGGTTTATCATGGAATTGTGAAGTAAATTCTATTCACCAATTTTTCCACAAAAAAACAGTGTTATAGAAAATATAGTAATTTTTTAATTATAATAAAACTATATTATTTATCTAAGTGTACCTAAATTCAAGGTTCGAGGACAAAATAATAATTTGTGGGTTTTGCATTTGATTGGTCTATTGACCCACAAATAGACGTAACCCACAAATATAAAACCCACAAATAGATGCTTTTTACTGTATTAATTTCTCGACACTTATACTATTGATTATTCATTTTCATTTTCATCAAATCTGAAATTGAGAAAATGATGAGGACAACCCTCTGAAATCACAACCATGAGTAAATTTTTCATTTGGAATTTTAGTTAAAAATCAAATAAAATTATTTTATCTATAAACAAGATTTTTATTATTAATTATAATAAAAAATGTTCAACATTTCAAAATTGTTCAAATTTGTATTTCCCGTAATTTAACAGTGTTTTGGCGCAATGAAATATAGAGAGAAAATGTTGAAAAAAAGAAAAATGAAATTAGTTTAAATTGATTGGACAATTTTGTAGAGTTTCAGTTTTTTTGAAGGGTTAAAATGATTGGTTGTTTCCAAATTGTGCACATTTATTACAACGGGAAGAAGCCCAAATCATTAGGAGTTTTTATTAAAGGTTCGAATTCATTTCTAAAGTACCAATTCCATTTTCTTTACTGTAATTTCAAGTTTATTACAAAAAGATCTCTGAATTATTCTGATTAACAAAATGTCTTTTTTGAAATGAAATACATTACATTTTATATTAAAACAAGTCACACTACCATCAAAAAAATATTTGAAGTATAATTTTAGTAGAATATATAATCACAAACGCAATTTGTGAATGAATTAAATTATTTGCTCAAAGGAAGCAGTGGGCCTTTGTCTGTCCATGGAGAAACAAAATTTGCCTGATAAATAACAACTCGAGCAACATCAAACGTTTCTTCATCAAGTTTAAGTTTACTATCAGATTCATAACGGAACCTACAGCTATTTTTGTCACAACTGACAGATCCACAATGTCCAAATTGGAAAGAGTACTCATTAAACCTAACAAAGTACATTTCCCTATCGTGGGATGCATAATAATATGGGCGACCTTTAATTTGGAGGATAAATTTAATTCCTGAGTATATCCCATTTCTATTCCTTAATTGCAACGTTTCGTAATAATCAACATCATCAATTGGTGTATATGATAAAGCCGCTCCGACTTGATTTCCATTTTTTCCAGTAACGATGAAGACCAAGTTTCCTCTGTTTTTGCAAATACGTTTTATAGAGCGTTGTTTGTTATTCCACCCATCTACTTCCGAGTCAAAAATAGTTTTCATATGTTTGCACCCAATCCACTCGTAGACAATTTCAGGTACCTTTTGAGTTGTAGTTGGTTGAATTCGAATTTTTCGACTTTCAATTTGAGTTATCTTCTTGTTATGTTGTGCGGTGACAAGCGCAAGGCCGTGTTGTTTGCAACTTACAATTTGATTGTATTTTTCATCTTCTAATTTACTCATGTTTTCAACGAGACTGTTTGTTGTTGTATCAAGCACTTGCTTGTCCTTTTTCAACCCAGAAACAAGTTTTTTCGTCACCTCTGTTATTTCAAAACAAATGGAATAAAGTACTTCACCTAACTCAACTAACTCTTCTCTACGAGTTTCAACTTCGGTAATTTGGTCATAAAGGCCTTCCACTCTTGTGACTGCCTCATCAACATCTTCATTTGTTTTTCGACCAAATAATTGAATTGTATACTTCTCCACATAAACCGCTTGTTTGTTTATTATTAAATCAAGCAAAGAGTTTATATCGTAAGAGAGTTCTCGAATATCATTGTTAATATTTGTACTTTTCATTTCGTTGTGATTATTATAGAGATAAAGAACCAAACTAAATTAAGCTGTCTTATTTTTAGTATAAAGTTTTTTTGTCGAAGAAAAATCAGCAAATAATCTGGGTTTTGGAGGATGTGTTGGTTTCTTTTCAAAAACCAAAGACCAAGTCTTAACTCGCCGACGTACCTAATCCCCAACAAACCAATACTGCTAAAAAGAGCAGTGTTTTTGTTTTTTTTTGAAAAAAAATATATTATACAGTGTAGTTCAATTATAGTAAAATGAAAATGGAATAACGAGTTCAAACTGTGAACTAAAAAACAAATAAAATGTCAAAAAGAGGAAAAAAATAAAATTTTATTACAAAAACGTAAAAAATGGCAAAATGCAAACACTTGTAAAATGCAATGACATTTATTCTGAAACAACAAATATGTTTTTAATAACAATAAAATAATAAAAAACACTTAGTTTTGAGTCGAAATGAAATACAAATTGTAAAAAAACATTTACATATTAGTGATAATAAGTATAAACTATACAAAATTTATGTACAGGCATGAAGTGAAGGAATAATTTTTCAATTGATTGTTAAATAAAAAGTTTTTCTTATTCCAAAATAATTTATTTCGATTGGCTGAAACTGTCATTCTCAATAAAACCCTTATTTAACAAGCCGAATTTGTCCTTATTATTATAACAATTATTGACATTTTGATTATCTTGTTACCATATTGTTTGTTTGTTGATAAGATTTTATAGTTTTTTTAATCATTTATAAACTATAGAAAAACAACAATCATACATAAACCAAAAAGCAAATAAACCAATAAGAAACCATCACTTAACTAAACTTGGCAACAAAGCAAACTCTATAAATTCTGCTTCATCACAACTCAAAGAAATGATAAATGTCTTTGTTTTTGCAAGCTCTCCCAACAGCCACAACACTCAATAATCACACTCACAAGACACCTTTGTCTAAAGGATAGATACTTCATCAATACACTATCAATTAAAAATCTTAAGGATGATGTAATAAAATTTAATATTTGAATATTTATGTAATAAGTGTAAATAATGACAAAATAACAACAACAAACGTGTTAAATGACAAAGTTAAATATTTAATATTTGTTTTATTTTTTAACAAGAGTTAATGCAAAGCATTAACTGTGTGGTTCTTGAAGTTTGCCTATTTTTCTTTTTTTCAACTTCAATTTATTTTTAAGTTCGTTCAATTTTATTTTTCAACTTATTTTTTCAACAAAGTCGAATTTAAAAATAATCTAAAAATGGGTCTAATTTTTTCAAATAGTTTTTTAGTTTTATTGACCAAAAATTTAAACCCAAAAAACAATAAAATAAGACGTAAAATTGTTCTATTATTCTCAAAACCCTTTTATTTAGTATTCAATTGAAAATTTATACCTTCACTTCACTGCCTGTAAAGTGTTTAGTCTTAAAGGGGGGCTAAAAAACCACTTCTTTTTTTTATGGTAAAAATAATAAAACTGTTATTTATTTTGTCTTTTTTGTTATTGTTTTTTCATTTACAAAAAGAAAAAATAACAACGACAACAACATTGCCAAATCTCTTTAACAATATTTTAGAAGGAAAATCAATTATTTCTTATTTTATTGGGAAAAAACATCATAGTTTAGTCACAGGTTATGTATTCTTTCAGGAAAGTTATGAAAACAATGACGAAAAACAAATCATAAATAGACTACGATTACAAAACATTTTCAAGTTATTTTTGACTTTATTACAAATTATTAAAATATAATAAAAACAACTAAAACAAATTAATTGAATAAGTCTAACGCAGCTTTCACCGCTTTGATATGATGCACATGGACTGCCCAGTTTGATTCAATTAAAAGAGGAAAGTCGCTTTGGTCTTGATTTGTTTTGAAGTTGTAACGTATTGAACACAACACGTTTTTGGTACAAAATATTAAAACACATTTTTATTTGTTATTGTCAAAACCATCCACGCACTCTTTCCTCTCCTCACCATGTCAAACACTCTCTCACCATAATTTATATCACCTCCTCATTTGTTCACACAAATATAAATACCAGTTTTATAAGTTTAAATACTCTTTTTGAAAAGACGAATCATTTTCCAATCAAAAGTAGTTTTGAATATTTTTTATCAAAAATCCCATATTTTTGTATTAAAGAAAGGCTCATTTTTTAAAGTTTGTAATATTGATGTTTCCATAACAGAATTTAAAATTGTAAACAACCACTTTTTCTAAAATTAAAAACAACAAATTGTTTAAAAGGTAACAATTTGTGAATTGTGATAGAACTGATAATTGTTTTTATACTTATTTATTATTATAATTTTCATTATTTATATTTATTATTGAAAGACAAAAGACGAAAATACAGATCTCAATAATATGATATTTTTTAATTAAATAACTAATAAAATTGGATGTTATAAAAACAAATCATTTTGTCGATAAAATAAATTATATCTATCTTAATATCACTTCTAATTTTTGACATTTCAATTATTTTTGTTAATTTTTATCGCAATATTTTTTTAAAATAATTATAAAAAACAAATTATAAAAAACTCCAAAGAAAATAAATTTATAGTTAAAATTAATTAAACCAATACCATCTTAAATTAAAATTGTTTTAAGAATCATTTTCATTGTCGACTTTTCGAGGTTTCTTCCCTTTGTTGATTTTCTTTTTGGTTTCCTTTGAGACTCTATCGAGTCGCTCTTTTTCAAGACGGCGCTTTTTTATTTGAGTGTTTTCAAGAGAAATACGTTTGGGTTCTTTTGTTTCTTTGGGGGTCCCCTTCTTTCCCAAGAATTTAGAGGCTTCTCTTGCTGAATTTATTTCAATTCTTATAACACCATGAATCAAATCGGATGGGTTATAATTAGGATTGATTTTTAAAGCTTTTTCTATTTCCTCTTGTGTTGGTTTTTTCACAGCCACTGTGATTCCAGCCTGAGAAAATGCGCTTGTAACATTGTCCCCATTTGCAACCACTTCCCAAGAATAAAGAATTTCTTTAATTCTTTCTTCTTCTGAAAGGTTCACAAAACCTTTCAAAAGATTTTTAAAATCGGGAGAATCCATTTTTAGAATATTTCCGACTTTGTGCTCAAATTTCCCCTCTTTTTCTTTTAACTCAAATTTGTGCTGAATCAACCCATTTTTATTTTGTAAAAACACCTTTTCTATCCCAAAAATTCCCAAGTCTAAAGGCTGACACAGATGAGAACTATGGGCAACTTTTTTGATCATTTCGACGTGATTTTCTAAATATAGATCTTCAATTTGCTTAGAAAAGTGACCAGAGAATCCATCGAGAATTAAGTATGCTTTTGTATCCGATCTAACTCCCATTTGCTCTCTTTTTGCCTTAATTGTTGGGAAAAAGACTCTTTTTAGCCAAAGTGTGTAAAGGTCTGTTGTCAGCATACCAGATTGTTGTGTTCTAATAATAGCTCTTCCACTTAAAATAGCAAGCGTGGTTTCTAACAAGGATAGACGTTTTGTTACCACAAGTGGAGTAAGTTTTGTTCCATCAACACAAATGCAACAAAGTAAACTAATTCTGGCTTTATCCCGATCCACTTCGGTATAAACCTGCTCTCCCGACTCAACAGATGCATAAACAATTTGTTGAGTGGCGTCTACCCATTGAGCAAAACCAACTTCGTCTAAATTAAAAACCAATTCGAAACGTACCCCATCAATTTTTTTCTTAAAATCGGTATAATATGACATAATTGACTCTGGTTTAACTTCTGCCCTATTTTTTTCCATTACAAATGCCATTTTTTCTCTAAACCTTCAATGTGTTCGACAATTTGATGCAATTGCCTCCTCTCTAAATTTTCCCGAAATTTTGCTTAATAAACAAGCCAGCACCCAAAGAAGAAGAACTCCCCACATTTTTATTTTCAGCTTGAAGTTTTTCAATTTCTAAATCTGTTAGCTTTCTTGGTCGTCCTTTTTCGGGTTTTTGTCCTGTTTTCATTTCTTTTTTAATTTTAGAAAATTGTGTTTTAACTCCATGAGATTTCATTGTCCCAAAAAAGCTCCAAAGAGACCAAAAAAGAAAGATTGTTTGTTTTGAGCGATTCTGAAATATCGGACGGAAGTTCAAAAAACAAAAACGGATCTGATCTCTAAAAGAATGAAAATTGAGCCAAATTACATTTTTTTCTAAATTTTTAAACTTTTCAAAAGTGTCTGGACATGATTTAAGATATTCAATGAGGCCTAAACTATTTGGAATTTTAGGACCTGCAAGGTGGAGGCTTTTAACCTTTTCCGAGCTCAGTTTATAAGGCTGTTTAATACCAAAAGATGCCACGAGTTTATAAAGATTATGTTTGGTCGAATTATATATCACATGATGTTTTAAGGATTCTGATAAATATTAAAAATGTAATTATTTAAATTATAATGTATAGATTTATTGTTGGCGTGCATCACTTTTTTATATCTGAACCTACTCATAATTGTATGTAGTATACCTGGGTTATCAAAGTGGTTTTAGGCTCAATCAACTCATTGGATTGGTGCGTTGTTATTTATTAGGCTCGCTGCAAACAATTTAAGTATTGTTATATTTTATGAACTAATGTTTTGTGTGTGTTGGATTTGTTTTTTATCGAATAGTTTTAATTAATTACTTAAATAAAATTGATAGTTTTTATTTAAAAAAACTATTTACATTCTATTAATAAATAATAATCATTCTGATATTTTTCTAGTAAATATAGTTTTATATTTATTGTTCTTTGGTTATATCATTTCATAACTTTAATTAAAGAATCTATAAAACATAAAACGCATGTTTTGATTAAGATCGATATAAATGAAAACCACAACACAACCCATTTAACTGTCAAGTAGATAAGAGTATACAACTAAATTGATTCTTCGATGAATTGAATTTATTAACAACTATAATTGAATAATTGTTAATATTCGTAATTGTGTTTTATGTTCACTATTGGGGCAGTGATGAAGTTCAGAAACCAATTTTTTCTTTTCTCTTCCTATCTTTAATTTCATTTCTTTGTGAATTAATTTAATAATATTTTAATTTAATTAACTATAAAAAATCATTTTTTATCCTATAATAAACACCAAATTAACACTATGAATGCTTGATGAAACACTGTGTAAATAATTAATAAAAACTATTTTTGTCTTTCGGGCAACATTTAACTGTGTCATTGTATCATTATTCATTTTAAAACAACCATCTTTTGGTTACATGTTGAAAGAATACAACCTCTTTCTTCAACAATTTTTATACCCAAATTGATAAATACATTTTTGGGCAACATAATTGAATGGACAATAAAACCGATACCTTCACCATCTTGGCTTTATATAACTTAAAAATATAACCAATTATTGTACAATGCCATATTATTTTTTGTGATTTTGCTCGAGGTTTTAAAACCGCTTCCCTTCTTTTTGGTGTAAAATTGCCAATAAATTACATGTATTTTGGTATTTAAAAGTAAATTATGCCACATTTTTGAAACTTTTATTCGAGTTAATTTTATCAGCAAAATATTATATTTTGTTGCCAATTTGTTAAAAATTGTAGTATGAAACACGGATTTTTTTGATTTTTTTTACCAATAAGAAATGTTGCCGACTTTGGAGATACCATGCACTATCTTTTTCGTCTTATTGTTATCCTCTCTTCTCGGCGTATAAAACCGATACCATACCAAATTAAAAATGAACAACACTAAAATAATACCAAAAAGACTGGTTTTGTAAAAATAATTGAAAAGTTTTTAAATTTTATCAAAAAACACAGAAAAAATATATCGGCATCCAAGCGTCTTAAAAACCGCTTCCATCATTTTGTCCTTTAAATTTTATTGAAAATTACCATATTTATTGTTTTGCTTCGTTTTTGGTCATAATTTATTAAAAAATTGTTCACACACTTGAAGATGCATCGTACATACAATACTCAACGTGAACTTGAAAAAGAGTTGGGAATGGGTAATTCAAACATCTTCACTTGGAACTTGCCAATATAAAATATTTAAATTTGGCCATAAAACGCACTTTTGATTAATTGAGGAATAAATTTTTAGGGGTGATAGAAAAAAGGTGCATTCATCTTCTGATACAAAAATGTAGGTATATCATTATAAAATATGATCAAACTCTGTTAGAACATTAAATTTTATTATTGAGTATGTTTATAACCACCACGAGTATCATCGATTTTACTCTTAAAAAACAATGAAAAAAATTTAGAGGAAAATAAAGGGGTGTGAAAAAAAGGTGCACTCATAGGTTCAAGATTTATTAGTATTTGTATTCCAACAAATATTCGAAAAAGAGTTTGAAAAACAATTCAAAATAATTTTTGGTGTGTAACATTTTATTTTCGTTTTTATGTTATTAATTGTTTTCAAAATAGACTTTTGCTTGCAACTTTTAATAGTCTCGGTTTATGGCTTCGGCAAACTTTGCTTTTTTTCTGTAATAAAAAATTTTCACAAAAAAATAAAAAGGCTACTTTCATTTTGTAAAATATTGTTTGAATAAAAACCCCTGAATTTTTTCTTTTTGTTGTTGAAACAGAAAAAAATAAACTATGAATTTAATTATAATTAAATTAACAAAAAACTATTTTTTTGAAAGAATCGGTTTTTAAGCGGAAGCGGTTTTTTATCCCCCCCTTTAATAATGTATTTTTTTACCGTTTCACAATTTTTACTACAATTGCCCTAATTGTTCTAATTATCCTATTTCATTTTTCCTATTGTACTTGTTATATTTAACATGTTGATTTTTCCTTGTGGTTTTTAAAAAAGAGAAGTAATAAAAGGCAAATTTTAGTTTGGTTAAAAAAATAAAAGGGAGAACCTGTTAAAGCTATAAAGCGGTGTTTTTTGTCGGCGAATAACTTAAAGAAAACAAATAACAATTGAGAACTAATTTGACTAAGATTTGCCGAATATCATATTTGGAAAAAATTACGGTGTTTCCCCGTGTTGGGTTGGGGGAAAACATATTTTGAAGGTGTGTTGACAATACTTGGACCCTTTGCCCTTCGAATTTTTTATCAATAAGTGTCGAGAGCAGCAAGCTTCTTGACATTGAGACTATTTCTATGTTTTTGAATTTCCTGGATGACACAGAACAGAACAAGCTTTACAAACTACACATTTATAACCCACGCGTACAATCTTTGTGTTCATATTTTCGGCAAACCCGTTAATAACATTATAATTATTAATTATTATAATAATAATTATTATTATTATTATTTCTATTATTTCTATTATTTATTGAAATAAATAATAGAATTAAATCTTAAAATGATGAAAAAAAGCACTTACAGTAAGGGGAGTGAGGGGCTTGACCTATACTTTTAATGGTTTATTTACTATATTTAAATAAAAACTATTTTTAACGTTCTATTTAAAAACACAACCTTGACTTATAAGTTATAGTTTATAAACCATAACAGTATTGGTTCATCCTTAGCATAAAGTCAGAACTTGAAATTGTATTAAAAAAAACTTGGGTGTTTGTTAGTTGTTTCTCAATAAAGTCATCCGTAGGCGTCAGTCTTCTTGTTTGATATGGTTCTTGTTGTTGGTTCAGCTCTTGGATATTGGAAGGCAACCTTTCCTCTTCGGATTTGACCAAATATGTTGGTCTAGGCGGAAGAACAAACAATTCCAAGTGTTCTCTGGTATAAACACCATTGGCTTCTTGGAACAACCTGGAAGCCTCTTCGATAAAATGAACATTCTCTTGATCTTTCCAATATTGACTCCAACAACACCAGAACGGTTATATGATGCAGCAATGATGTTTTTGCTTTGCTCTCTAATGCCCCCAACATCTTTTTAGTATGACGATCAATGGAAACATAAATATGCTCTCTCGGCTCCCCTTGTTCTCTTAGAACTTGTCGTGATCTGCCATTACTATCACTGTGTCCTCTCATCCAAAAATCAATTCAGTTTGAACCTCGCCGTCTTCAGTTAATGTGAAATTTGGCATCAATTGATCTTTAATTGTCAGAGTATTCAGTAAGTTAGTGTTTTAACAACTCCAAATACACAAGCCAAATGGTGAGACGAATTGGCTTGTGTGAGGAACAACTTATCTATTATTGCTAAAGGAAATCCTTTGTAAAAAGAATTTGTATTTGTGCTGTCGTAGAAACATAAATACAGTAAAACCTCCCAAGAGCGGTACCTCTGAAGAGCGGGTTCTCTCAAGAGCGGGCATTTTTTAGACTAAAACTAAAAATAGAGTTCTCTATCGAGCGGTAATTGAGGTTTGATTGGCTAAAAATGCCCGCTCTTGAGAGAACAAAATTACCACGCCCTCCCGCTCTTGGGAGGTTTTACTGTAATTAAAACTTTTGAATTAAGTCTTGACTATTTTAAACAATAGAAATAAGCCGTTTAATTACCTTTATTACATTGAAGGTTGTTAACATTTTCTTTTCAAAAAAACGTTTAACTTCATTTTGATAAGCTAAAAATCTTTTTCTTTGACATTTTTTATAAATTATTTATAGTTTTTGTTGTATTTTAAATAGAACCGGGAAAACTCTGTATAGTAAAAAAGATAATAAAACAATAGGTCAAGCCCCTCACTCCCCCTACTGTAACCCTTAAAATAACGCCCTTATTATTGTTTTGGCTTGTTTTTTCAGGGATATTAATCAAAATTTTTGATGATTTTTCTTTTTTTGGCTTGTGTATTCCTTTTTGATTTAAAAAATGAATAAAATCATACAAATTTGAGTGTTTTTATTCATTTTTTAAATCAAAAAGGAATATTGTTTATGCACATAATACAATCTCTAAAAAAAGGGAAATTTATTTAATAAATTTGTAATTTCCCGATTTATACCACTTGAATTTTGTTCAATGTTATTTAAAGTGTTAATAAAACACAAAAAAAAATTTCATTTGTGAATTAAGAATATAGTTTCAATTAATTATAAAATATAATACAATTTTTAGCAAAAAAATATTAATTTATTTAACCAATTTAATAGTTAAATAGTTCACTCAAAAGCATTTCAAATTTCTCTAATCTTTGAATTAAAAATATAGTTTCAATTAATTATAAATTATAATACAAAGTGACAATACTATATATTGTTAAATTTAAATTAGTAAGAAACAAAAGTGCAGTCCTTGAATGGTCGGATGGGGGATGACTTTCTCACAACGTTAGCGGCCAGTTCCTTTTTACCAAGGAGAAGGAGTATAAAAACCTTCAGAGCATTTGCGTCTTCTGAATCCTCCATCTTTTCGACTATTTTCAGTGCGTCTTCGTACTTCTTGAGCATCAACAGCGACAACGCGAGTGTGAAGTTGATATCAGTGTTTTCTTGGCTCTTTTCGACAAAGAATTCCTGAAGGACTTTATCTGCTTCCTTATTCAATCCTAAGAGACAATAAGCTCTCGCCAAAAAGACGCGTGCAGACTGTTTCACTGTTTCTTTTGCAGTTGCGTAGACGTTCTCAAAGCAAAACTTTGCCATTTCGTAGTCTTCCGAGTAAAAAGCGATATATCCCATACAGTAGTGCATTGCTGTTAACATTCTTTTATCGGTTGATCCCCTCAAGAGTGTCGCCATATTTCTGATGTATTGCATTCCCAATGACAAAGGGAGGCTTTCGCTTTGTTGACTATTTTGAAGTATGACGACATGGCGTGTTGCTCCACAGCTGACGTACTTATAATTGAACGCGGACCCCCTCTTCATGTTGTAATTGGCCATAATAACGCAACTAGCGAGGCGATACCACAGCAATGGGTTGTATCGATAATAATCAACTAACGTTAGAAACGCCGTGTGTGCGTCGGTCGGGTTATTCGCAAGTAAATAGCACAACCCTAAATTGTACGTGACTGTTTGTTTCCACCCGATCGGATACACCGTCGACGTCGGCGCGTCCAACGTTGTCTTGCAGATGTCTGGACTGCGCGCGAACAAGTCGAAGCTCTTTTGGATCATGTAGATTGCAACGGCTGGCTTTCCGCTTCTAAAAAAGGTGCAGGCCGTGTTGTTATCTTTGAGTGGTGACGACGTCGAGAGAAGAGCTGATTGTGATGATTCAAAGTCGTTAGAAAGATAGTAAAGAAGAGATTGATAGTATGGTTTGCTTATAGGGTCGCGGGAAGAGTTACAGACCCCTGTGATGTGAGTAATAGCCTGACTGATGTTGTTCTCTTTGAGTGCTTTTCGGAGGAGGACAAGTTGAGATTGGATATAGAAGAGGGTTCCTGGGACGTATATTGGGTTCATGAATTCGTCGGTGATTGGAGTGAGATCGGGGGTCAAGGACCTCAACGAAGTGACGATGTGGTAATATAACAACAACGAGAAAAACCTCACCGGAGACTCTTCGTCACTGGAATGGTCCGATAAAAATCCTAAAGCTTCCGATGGTTTGTTGGATAAGAGAAATGCAACAGCTTTGTTATAAGAGAGGTATGTCTGGTCAGTCATCGTCAATGGTAGAAGCGTGTTAAGGTATTGAGTAACATCTTTTGTCAATAACAAAGCTATTAATGCTTCATTGCTTGTGTTAATCACTTTTTGCTCGTCAGTGGAAGTCGACGTCGATAGCTTTTTCTTCAGAGCAGCCAAGTCAGCAGGTTGGGTACTTTTCACAAAAGTGTCGTAATAACTCTCCGCCATCTTTACCTTTTTGAGTTATGTGATAGAATAAACATTATAACTATTTATTCAAATTAATAAATAACTAGAACTTTAAGTAAATTGAGTTAATTAATATTTGTAAGTTGTATGTATCTAGTTTTTACTATTCAACAATAGTTAAACAATATTTTTTTTATTGTAGTTTTTTATTATTAAAAACTATAGTTAAACTAGTTTTTATCAAATAAATTGGTTGAACATAAATAGTTTTGGTAAATAATTTTAAAATTAATTATAATAGAAAATATGATATGCCACAAATTAATAATTTTACAATAAAAGAAGTTATTAATTAGTTCTTTTTTTAATTAAATTATAATTATATTTTAATTATATTTTTACTAATTAACACATACTTGTCATATTATGGCTATTAACTCACCTCTCACTTTTAAAACTCACTTGTCAAATAATGACTCACTACTTCGCTTTTGACTCACTTTTATAAAAGTAACTCACTTAAAAAATAATTTACTATTTTAATGGTTTTTTAAATAATAAAATAAAATTTCTTCAAAATAATAAAATATCGTTTTAATTTAAATTACTATATAAGTATCCACTCAATCAAAAACTTGACCATTTGGGCAAATTTGCCATTAATCAAAATAATTCATATCTGGATTGTGATGAAAAAACAAAAATAAATAACAAAATAAATAACATTTTGACTTACTTAAATTATTTTTGTTATTAAATTAAAGTTTTTATAAATGAAAAAAAATATAAACAAATCGATTAATCGATTTAAAAAAATACTCTTTGCGTTCAATAATTATATCGTTGTCAACACGAAAGATATCGCCATACAAATTCAACGAAGTGAATGTGTTGTTACACATTTGAATTTATTATATTACAATTTTAAAATTTGTATCATTTTTGTTTTGAACAATCAATAAAAAATACAATAAATAATAAATGAGTTATTTAACCAAAGATATTTGAATTAAACGAACAATATTTTAAAGTAAAAACATTGAATAATATAAAACCAAAATGATAAAAATGTTTTTCGTCATCAAGAACAATTACATACGTTTGTCATAACCCAAACAACTGGTTTAATTGTTTATTAATTACAACAATACATACAATAAAACTACGAATAACAAAGACACATTATCAATAAAGTACACTTTTACTACAAACACAACTTAATATATAAAAATTTAATCATGTAAAATGTTAAGATATCGGAATAATAACTTATTAGAGTATATAATGAACACGACATTAAACAGCTGAGTAATGTTTATAACCAAAATATCATGTAAATTTTAACAACAACACAAACAATGAAAATAATTAATTAGGTTGTATTGATTAATTTCTATGATGAAATTATTTTAATCAAGTTAATTATTAAAAATGTGATTTAAAAAATGAAGTCGATTAACATATGTATAGTTTTACACATTTAAAGTTGTCTCTAAGTTGTATACCTTTTAATTAATTAAAAAACAAAGTTAGTGCATTACAAAACCTTTGAATGTGTAAATAAAGATAAACATTTGTGTTAATTTTTTTATTGATATTTTTTGATAAAATATTAAGAGTTAAATAATTTAATTTCTGATTAGAGCTTATGTTTAATAATTGTGACATTTCGTTTGTTCAATGAAAAATCTTTAAGAATTTGTCGTAGTTTATTACTTTTTTTAATTTTAGTCATTGCGTCGTTATTCACAAATATAATACAGCAACTTATGTTAACAATTATAGACAAGTGTTATTTATTGTTTTATTTTTACTTAATTATCATAATATTTTTTTTCATCTCACAACACACAAAATGAAACCATTGTATTTCTTTAACATCACAACAATTATCAAAGTAAAATAAAAACAAATTTAATTCTTACTTGTTGACAATTTTATAAAAATAATTCATAAAAAATTACTGTTTATTTTCACACTTTTATGAAAAATATAATACAATTTAAATAAAACATTAAAACTTTTAAACATGTAACTTCATACTAACAACGAAAATGATTCCACCAAATTAAATAATATATTGGTGGAATGTATCTGTTTGGGCATAATAGTATTTTGGATAAAAATATAAACACATATATATATTAAATATATTAAATTTGTTGCCCAATAGTTTATAACAAAATTGTACAACAACTCAAAATGATTTAATTTGAATTGATAAATGTAAATTTTGTCAAATTTTTAATATTGATGTTTTGGATACTATTTGTACCAAATAAATTTTTCTTTACCATTTATTTTATTTTCTATTTTTCGAGTATTATAAATATAGTTAATTATGGTTTATTTTTTAAATAAATTTTACAAACTTTATATAGTTGTTGAACTATGGATATACTAAACATAGTTTTTTTTGATGAGTATAGTTTTTTTATAGTAAAACGACTAATATTTAATTTCAAATAGTTAAAGTGAGTTACTTTATGCCAAGGTGAGTTAATAGCCATTATAATAAATATAATTTTTTATAATTAAAAACTATAAAAATTTAGAAATTAGAAATTACAAATAAAAATTAAAATTAAAAGTATTATTACTTTAATTAAAATTGAACAAAATTAATATAGTTTAAGAATCGGGAAATCTCGAGTTTATAAAATAAATTTCCTGTTTTTTAGAAGTTTATTTCTTTTATACAATTACACGTAACTAATAAATAAAATAACTATAAATGAATAGTTATTTTATATTTTAGTAAACCAAGTTAAAAAATATTTTATGATTTAAACTATATAAATAACTATAAATATAACTTAAATAGTATTTTAAGTGTTAAAGAGAAAACATAAAGTTATTTCCTAGACGCTTTTGAAAATAGTCATATTCTGGGAAAGCTCTAATGCTATTTACACCAAGGAGGCTGAATGATTCCAACGATTTTGGAAGGACAAACTCGACGTTCTTGAATGTGCAATCCATCACTTTGAGTGCTCTCATAGACGTGCACTGGTCAAGTCTAACAACAACTTTTTGAGTTGGACTAATTTCGTTCTTTCCTCCGACAATTTCCAGTTTTTCCCAGTCGTATTCTTTCAAAAGTTTTTGAAATTTTTTGTGGATACAAAACTCCGCGGGGATTTCAAACGCACCACCCCGTTGTGGGAGGAAGACCAGAAGGTCGAACAGATCGTCCAAATTTTGTTTGTTTGATAAGATCAGACGCGTCACCACAAAAGATCCAATTTGGCATTTTTGAGCCAATTGTCTTAAGTTGACCAAGTCTGTCCTTAGAGTAGGACAGACTAAAGTGAGACGTGGGAATTGTTCATTGATCGCAATAACACTTTCAAAGTGCCTTGAATCGAAAACGCAAGTAAGTCTTAAATAGGGAATTTGTATCAATTTGCTCAGATATTTTTGGAGGGTCTTTTTGTTGATCGAGACACCAAGTCGGATGGTGGCACTCTTCAATTTCATTTGCAAGGGGTCCAATTCAACAATGTCGTAATTCGAATCCAATTTTATGTCAACAATTTTTGACTGATACTTTAAAAGAGCGACGGTGTGGGCTTTGTCGACACGTGTTAAGTAGTCTGTAATAATCAATTGTTCTATTTGGGCGACTACATATTAATATTATTATATATTATATTTATAGTTTATTTAT